GGAATAATTATAAATGCAAAACATCATTGAACCTTTGACTGGAAATTTGGCATCTGCAAGAACAAGACAAACCAGTATGTGTCTTCTTTAACTAATCAGTGTACAGAAACCTTACAGAGATAGTGGGTCAGATTTTTGTAGCATTGTTTTGCCTCTGGAGCCATTTACTAATGGTGGGATGAACCCACTTTGGGGATTTCTGCCTCCATCCCCTGTGTTGGTATATTTAGCCAACATGGGATTAGGGTGCAAGTAACAAGCCTACCTAACCTGACTGGCCTGATTTCTTGGCCACTTTGGGGCCTCAATTGATCCAGGACAATCGGGCAACCTGACCTATCTCCCATCTCTCTTAAAATGTGAGTCAGCTCAGGAGGAGGCAGGTAGGTGACAGGAAGGCAACCAGCTTATTTTTCCATTTCCTCTTCCTTCACATTAGGTGAGGTCCAGCCCTGTATGTGAATCTTATTAAAATGTGAGACTAATTGCTGATATGTTGAAAGTTTTGGTATCTATCCACTTCACACGAGTCTTTTTTCCAAAGTGTAGAATTGCTGATTGTATCTTACAAACTCCTTTACTTTCTTGGACCACTCTCTTCCTTTATTTTTCTTACTTTTAAACTCTTTATTCAGACTCTCAACTAATCTTTTCTGCCTCTTCTATGTGGCTATTATATTGAAGCACATGCCAACTGACAGTGGGCTTATCTGTATATTTGTCTAAATGTTTCCATCTGTTATGTAACTGTCACTCAAAACAGAAAGTCTGAATAACCTGGAAAGTTGAGATAACCTAATTATCTATGATTTCACTTTGAGAGTATACTAACTGATGAAGTTAAACTTTGAAAGCTTCCAACGGAACTCATTCAATGTTGAAAACATTGTTTTGAGAAAAAAGTATTTTTAAAAGGAATCCCTTTGACATCAAAGACACAATGAATTTTAATGGTCTACTTAACCTGCATGTAATCTCTGCATTTATTCTAATTATTCTAAAAACCACAGCTTATTTTTTTTCTTTGTGTTCACGGCTCCCATCATAGAAAATGGTTTTCTAAATGGCTCATTTAAGCATTATGTTCTACCTGCTCACAGCCCATGTGAGGTTAAATTTGAAACTAAAATCTCAGAAGCATCAATGAATATTGAACAAATTGCCTATACTTCCATGACAATATTTTAAACAATCTGTAAAGGTGATTTCACTTTCGCTTTTTAAAATATCTTCTATAGTTGTTAGTTCCACTGAAAGTATCCTACTTTCTCTTTGTTGAGTATCATCAAAAATAATCAAACATGAGATGGAGGAACAGCATTGATTCCAGGATAGGATTTTCCAGGAACCACAATAAAATCAGAATCTATAGGGTTGGATCTTAAAATGATCTGAGTGACATGGGCTACAGTGCGATGTGTGGCAGCATTGAGCAACAAGTATGGCAGGGCTCATGTCGATGTTGAAATCATGTTGCTCCATCGTTTCTGTTTTCATAAGTGGTGTGGCAAGATACTCACTAGAAAGCGGCGAGATGCCAACTGATTCTCATTATTGTATGTTAAATGTCCAACTCGACACACTAATATTCAGCCTCCCATCTTACCAAACAAATTTGATGTCAGGAAGACTTGACAAGGAAACCAGAGTTAGCACCTGATGGATTTAGCTTGCCGTTGGTCTGAACAACCTCCAAGTTGGACCTTGGGCACCAACATCTCAGGCATGCTCTATGGCAACCAGCCACATGCACCCCAGGTCCATGGCTATTGGTACGTGACATGCCAGCCTCTGAGAACCCTCATGCCGTATCTCCAATGCACTGACAGGATACATCTGTAACTCAATATCCAGTAACGTGTACGTTGAGTTTCAGCAGCAATTTCTGTTTCTCTTTCAGATCTCTAGCATCCAGAGTTCTTTGTTTTATTGTATCATTATAATCCTGCTGCGAGGACATTATGTGTTCAGATACACACGTCCAGCTCATGAACTGAACCAGTCTGCATCTTCACTCATTGTCATAGCAGTTACTCTGACCCTACCTGAATGCTCTCAGTATCCCTGCCATGCATTACTTTACTTTTCTGGGCTTTACTCCCTCAGCTGGAGATATCAAGCTCATATATTCTTAATCACTTGTGGGAGGCAGCCATTGCTGTCTGGCCAGCTTTTATTGCCTGCCCCTAGATGCCCTTGAGAAGGTGATATGAGCTGCCTTCCTGAACAACTGCAGCCTATGTGCCGTGGGTTGACTCTCAATGCTGTTAGGAAGGGAATTCCAGGATTTTGACCCAGCAACAGTGAAAGAACAGCAATATTATTTCCAAATCAAGATGGTGAATGGATTGTAAGAGAGCTTTCAGGTGATGCTTTTTCCATGTATTTGCTGCCTTGTGCTTCTAAATGGAAGAGGTCGAGTGTTTGGAAGGTGCTGTCTGTGGATCTTTGCTAAATATTACTGCTATCTTGCTAGTTAGCATAGACACAAATTCAGAATGCTTGTTATGGTTGTCAGCAAACCTCAGTTAAGTTAAGGAAGCAAGACTTTTTTCAGGGCACCACGGCACAATAAGTCATGGGCAGCCTCCAATACCAGTCCAGGCCCTACTCAGAGTGATTGGAGCCAGAATCATTTGCACATATGGGATAAGGAGCTGAATGAGGACAGCACATTATCCATCTTGACCCATCTGTCTGACTGTAGTCTGTTTCCTTCTGGAATGAGAAGAAGATACTATGGGAGACAAAAGTGGGGGCACAGTTGTTGAAGGAGTCCCAAGCAAGTGAGTGAGCTGTGCAGAGGGCATACAGTGTAGGTGGTTTTGTGGGTTGGGGTGGATTGCAGGTAATACTGAGCATGGTAGAACATGAGCCTTGATGGGAGGTGATTACAGTAACAGTGATAAGGATGCATCAAGGATCAGAGGCACCTTGGTATGCATTACACCAGACCCTAATGTATTAGGACAGGTGGATAAAGTTGTTAAGGAACAATACGGGATATTTGTATTTATTAGCTAAAACATACAGTTTAAGAGGAGAGAAGTCATGGAGAGCATTGTGTGCAGTTCTGGAATCCACATTATAGGAGGGATACGATAGCAGTGGGGAGGCAGTAAAGGAGATTTACCAGGATGTTGCCTAGGCTGAAGAGTTTCAGTTCTGAAGAAGGATTGGACAGACTAGGTTTGTTTTCCTTAGAACAGAGGAGATTGAGAGGGGACATGACTGAGATATATAAAATTAAGAGGGGCATAAATAGGGAGACAGGAAGAAACTTTTCCCTGAAAGTTTACAGGAGATGTGACAAAAAGCTTTTTCACCCAGACAGTGTTGGGAATCTGGAACTCACTGCCTGTAAGGGTTTTAGAGGCAGAAACTCTCATAACATTTACAAGTATTTAGGGGTGCACTTGTGACAGCAAGGCATACAAGGCAATGGGCCAAGTGCTGGAAAATGAGATTTTGACTTCATTTGATTTGTTATTGTCACATGTACCGAGATACTGTGAAAAGTATTGTTTTGTGTGCTATTCAGACAAATCATACCTTTCACAAGTACATTTATAGCCGCACGGTGCTCAGTGGTTAGCACTGCTGCCTCACAGTGCCAGGAACCCAAGTTTGATTCCACCCGTGGTGACTGTGTAGAGGTTGCACATTCTGCCCATGTTTGCATGGGTTTCCTCCGGATGTTCCGGTTTCCTCCCAGAGTCCAAAGATGTGCAAGTTAAGTAGATTGGCTGTGCTAAATTGCCCATAGTGTCCAGGGTTGTGAAGGTTAGGTGGATTAGCCATGGGAAATGCAGGGTTATAGGGATAGGCTAGAGGGCTAGGTCTGGGTAGGATGCTGTTTAGAGGGTCAGAGTGGATGCAATGAGCCGAATGGCCTACTTCCACACTGTAAGGATTCTATGATTAGAGCAGAGGGGTGGTTGTTTTTGACTGGTATGGACATGATGGGCTGAAGGGCCTTTTTTCCGTGCTGAACGCCTCTCTGAGTCTATGAGGTAGAGTGAATAGGATGCATCATGGATAAGATAGTGACACTTGCTCCGGCAGAGTGGAGAAGGACAATGACCTTCCTCCTACATTCTTCAAGATATCTGAGATTGCTTTAATCCAGGTGGCAACATTTGGCCAGGCTGGCATGTTTGTATGTTGTAGTCTCCAATGCTGTCTGGTGGGTGCTTATTTGTTGGTTACACGCTGTCCAGCAGAAACTCCAGGATTTTGCCCCCAAAGCTAGGCACCTAATTCCCCATGTTTGCCATGTTGGGGCAAATGTTAGTAACTAAGACTCTGAACTGACAGTGATTTCTGCGTGCACAGGAGTCTTTCAAAGATGGCACAGGGGCAACGGGTGCTTTGTTTTGAAGGATATCCACTGAGCAGTGAATTATTTCAGGAACAGTGTGGAGTAAGATGAGGCAGAAATCAATATGAGGAATTCCATTGGAGTGGGGTAGATCATTATTGAGGTGAGTTTGTTAAGATACAGCAAAATACTTGCCAAGACTCATGGTACAATTTTTTTTCAAATATAATGCAACTTAGACTTAGCCAAATAAAGATAAATTTCAGCCCATAATGAATAAACTTAATAATAATATTGTTTTGTGAAACTGATTCTGTGACTTCACTGAAAACTCCAAAGCCAAGATAACTGAATCAAAGAAAACGATATCTGTGGAATTTTCATCTGTCCAGTAGAGAGAGAGAGTGAGAGAGAGAAGATAATTTGTAACTACAATCGAAATGAACGACTGTAATATCTTTGGACAGTACATTTATGTTTCTGAGAACTGTTGCATTTTACATTTTCCAGGCTGTAGAAGTTCAAAAAACTGAGGATTGTTTGATGCTGTCATTTCCCAAGTAGCTGTGGTTGCGTGTTAATGTTGCTCATCCAAAAATGTAAAGATTCCACTTATTAAGTTATCCTTCACAAGCTAATCACATTATTTTTTGTTTTAAATTTCAGGCAAAATCTGCAGCGATTCTTCCTTTTTGTGTAAAAATGGAAGATGTATAAATGACACCTTCACTTGTAATAAGCATAATGACTGTGAAGATGGATCAGATGAAAGAAATTGTTTTGTTAATGAATGTGCTAATAAGCGAATTAGTGGATGTTCACAAGACTGCCAGGATCTGAATATTGGGTACAAGGTTAGTATGGTCACTACTATATAACATAATACTTTGAATTTTTAAGAAACATTTGAGGAAAAAAGGAAATCTTTGTTTGATATCTGTAGTCAATGATCAAGCTAATGCAAATAAAAGATGTCATTCATTCTATTTATCTTCATTTTAATACAGGGAATGTCGAAAGAAATGAACAAATAACAATCAACTTTCAGACCTAGAATTTTTAAGTCAACTTGGCCTGCATAAACCTGTTGGTTTCCTAATGATCCTTGCAGTTTTCTATCTATACTATTTAGTCTATGCTACATACTGGATGCAAAGTACAATTATAAAAAAATCTGAAATTTAATATGAATACACTTGTTGCACAGTCAACTCCCTCACTTTCATCAGGAATGGCCATAAGAGTAGGATAATGATAAGTAAGGCCTAATAATCAGTAGTACTCCTGTTCAATAGTGTACTGAATAATATGATTTTCTCAGAAAAAGTTGCCTAAGATGCAGTACCAGGACTAAGCAAATGACTGGTACCAGCCTGTGCCATAGTGATTGATCCAAGAAGCACTCAGTATGGGTTTTAGGTCTCAACGACACAAGACCAGTGAGACATGGTCTCTAGGATATCCTTAAGCAGCTCACCAATGGAAAGAATTGCAACTTCAGGCCAGTACAATACTGACAACTGTTCAGATGTGAAGAGGATAAATGATTGGGTGAAAATGGGATGTGAAGTAGATGACTAGAAGAGGGGTGAACAAGAAAGCGAGACAGTTATCATGCTGGAGGAAATGGCAGGAGTTGGTAAATGTCTTAAGAGCAACAGTGGTGTTGCCATTCAGGTAAGTATATTTGGTAAACATACCAAATTTATCGACATCAATCTTTAGAAAGCACCATTGGTTAAATCACATACATTAAACATTTTCCTGGCCAGCTCTACACTGGACAGGTTGTGTTTAACAAAAGGGGCTATGTAATAACCATAAGGCCCCCAGTTTGTATGTGGAAGGGGCTTAATACCTGTGTTATTTGTGGGCCCTGGATGTCTCTTCTGATGTCTGTATCACATCTCTAACTCAGAATCTAGTGTTATTCAACAGCTTAATGTTCACTTTATGTGTGTAAAGCATCTTAGTATCATCGACCACGGAATGACTCAATGCATTCTTTCAGAAACTTACTGAATTACATGTTCCCTTCCTTTCAAAGTAAGTAACTTCCAAAATAAAGTCTTTAGTTACTCTAATTTTTTACCTTGAATGTATCAAATAAAAGCCTTTAAATGAACTGCTGCTGTTCATAATTTTTTCACGCCTTTATATTTTTTAGTGTAAATGCTGGCCAGGTTTCAGACTGAAAGATGATGGCAAAACCTGCCTTGACGTTGATGAATGTTCAACCACCTTCCCCTGTAGCCAGCAATGCATCAACACCTATGGAACCTACAAGTGTTTTTGTGCAGAAGGCTATGAAATACGAGCAGATAATCCCAATAGCTGCAAAGCCTTATCAGGTATGATTTTCTATTTATTCACCGCCGCATTAAAACTTGTATATTTCACAACAGGTCGAAGGATGTGAACTATAAGTTGAAGAAAACTGATCGTTTTAGAACCAAGTGGAATGAACTTGTACTCTGTTTTGTAACTAACATATTAAAACAATCATTAAGGCCACTCTTTAAGTAGTGGACAAAGCAATTTCATTTGGATAAATCGTAGTTACATAACAAATAATCCAAGTTTGATTTCATCCATTTCTTTTCAAGAGACCAATGTAATTTTACTGCCATCTACTATGATAGACACTCAAAAGTACCCCAAAAAATCTCTTTGAGAAAATAATTTTGTTTCGGAGAACTATCTGTTGTTGATTCGTAAAGTGTACTGAAAGAAATAACCTTTGCAATCTACCAACCTGCACATCTTTGTTCCATCTGGGGTATTTGGTTTGGGGTGGCACTGTGGCTCAGTGGTTAGCACTGCTGCCTCACAGCACCAGAGACTGGATTTAATTCCAACCTTGGGGGATGTATGGAGTTCTCCCTGTGAATCATTTATGAACGTCATTCTCTTCCCTCGTGACTTTGAATTCTGCTTTAATAAGCCTTATTAAAAACAACTTAGAAGTAGATGACTTCCCATGAAAAGTGGATTTGCAGCAGTGTTCTGTTATGCGTAAGTATGAAAATCAATTTCTGAATATCCAGGGGCTCCAGATTTGGCAGTATCACTCGTTTTTGTTTTATAAGTCATGTTTTCACTGGGACTAAAGAATCCTGTTTTGAATGCTTCCCACTTACTTCCCATGGATCTTTCTTCATGTGGCTAGAATCACTTCACTTTCACAAGGTCATCTCTCAGACTTGTAAAGTCTGGTAGAGCAAAGTGTGCAGAAGACACTGAAAGACTGCAAAGGGATATAGATAGTCTAAGTGAGTGGGCAAAGGTCTGGCAGATGGAGTACAATGTTGATAAGTGTGAGGTCATCCATTTTGGTAGCAAAATACACTATGTTTTAAATGGTAAAAAATTTCAGCACGCTGCTGTGCAGAGGGACTTGAGTGTCCTTGTGCATGAATCACTAAAAGTAGGATTGCAGGTGCAGCAGGTAATTAAAAAGACAAATGGAATTTTGTCTGCCATTGCTAGAGGGATGGAGTTTAAAAACAGGGAGGCTATGCTGCAGCTGTATAGGGTCCTGGTGAGGCCACACCTGGAGTACAATGTGCAGTTTTGGTCTCCTTACTTGAGAAGAGATATACTAGCACTGGAGGGGGTGCAGAGGAGATTCACTCGGTTGATTCCCGAGTTGAGAGGGTTGGATTATGAGGACAGACTGAGTAGACTGCGATTATACTCATTGGAATTCAGAAGAATGAGGGGAGATCTTCCAGAAACATATAAGGTTATGAAGGGAATAGATAAGGTGGAGGCAGGGAGGTTGTTTCAGCTAGCAGGTGAAGCTAGAACTAGAGGGCATCACCTCAAAATAAAGGGAAGCAGATGTAGGACTAAGGTCAGGAGGAACTTCTTCACCCAAAGGGTTGTGAATCTGTGGAATTCCCTGCCCAGTGAAGCGGTTGAAGCTACCTCGCTGAATGTTTTTAAGGCAAGGCAGATAAATTTTTGAACAGTAAAGGAATTAAGGGTTATGGTGAGTGGGCAGGTAAGTGGAGCTGAGTGTCAAAAAGATCAGCCATGATCTTATTAAATGGCGGGCAGGCTCGAGGGGCCAGATGGCCTACTCCTGCTCCTAGTTCTTATGTTGTTATACTTTTCCCTAATTAAGAACATTTACCCCTGTTCTATCATTGTCTCTTTCCATAATAATTCTATATTTAACTATGCTATGATCATTATCTCCAAAATGTTCACCCATTGCTTCTTCACCCATCTCCCAGTTTCATTTTCCTTAGACTAAGTCAAGAATTGAATGTTCGCTCGTTTGACTTATTTTGTTTTTGATTTTAAAAAGTCATTTTGAGTGAAATTCAAGAATTTTGGGTCCTTTGTACATTTCGCTTTATGTGTATCTCAATTCATATTTGGGTATTTGAAGCTTGCAACAATTATTGTCTAATTAATTTTGACCTCAGAAATTTTCTGACGTATTTGCTCCTCCACCTCATTCCCACTATTTGGGGATATATCATAGATGGGGTGTCAATCAAACACCTAGATGTTGTTGAGCTCTTTGACGTTGTTGGAGCTGCACTTATTCAGGCAAATGGAGAGTCTTCCTTCAAGTTCCTGACTTGTATATGGTTGGCAGGATTTGAGGAGTCAGGAGGTGACAGATTTCCCAGCTCCTGACCTGCTCTTCTAGCTATACTGTTCATATAGTTAGTCCATTTCAGTTTCTGGTCAATATTGATAATAGGAAATGCAGTGATGGCAATGCTATTGAATGTTGAGGGATGGTGATTGGATTCTCTCTTGTTGGAGATGGTCATTGGCTAGCACTTGAGTGGTATGATGTTAACTTGCCACTTATCAGTCCAAGCCTGAATGTTGTCCAGGCCTTGCTGCATTTGGACACTGACTTTAGCATTGAAGGAGTCCAGATAATGCTGAATATTGTGCAATCATCAGCGAACAACCCAATTTGTGATCTTCTGATGGATGGGGGAATTGATGAAGGAGCTGAAAATGATTGGACTTAGTGCACTAACCTGAGGAGTTCCTGCAGTGATGTTCTGTGACTGAAATGATTGACCTCCAATAACCACAAACGTTTTCCTTTGTTTATTTTTGACCATCCTTATTCATTCATCTAGTATGTATCTTAAACATCAATATTGTCTATCATTTTGGTGTTACAATTGCTTGGCTGTCTTTAGCCTTGCTCATGGAGTAAAAGTTAAACATGGTTATGAATGTTACAGATTAGACAGTGGGAATCCAATCCTTGCTAAAGAGTTCAGCATGGTTAGGGTGCATTAATGACAGATGGATTACGTTTGGATTAAATGGGAGGACATACCTGCCTGTTGCCAGATTTAGATACAAAATTGTCTTGTATGTAATCATATATTAAATTTGCAAAAGCATTTGTAAAGCATATATATCAGCAGGGTGAAATTTTAAATAGTTTCATGAATATGTTTGACCTTGCTGCATTTACTGAGGTGCTCTCTTCCTTTGTATTCAGCGGAGGAACCATTTTTAATATTTGCTGATCGGCATGAAATCAGAAAAATGAGCATTGATGGATTCAACTACACTTTATTAAAGCAGGCAAGTTGCACGTTTGTTCATTGTTGCGCCTTGCTTTGTCTTTGAACTCTTTTGATACACTAATAACTAGATTTGCTTGTTTACAGGGGCTGAATAATGTTCATGCAATAGATTTTGACTACAGGGAAAAATGTATTTACTGGGCTGATTTCACTACACAAGGCAGTACAATATCAAGGATCCATTTGAATGGAAGCAATCCTGAGGTAGGAATATTTGCAATAGCAGTTGGTTGTTGATAATTTCAGAAATTTCAGTTATGTCCAGTTAAGACTGTTATAGCTCAATTAATAAACATGACATTTGTTTTGTTTTTATGTTGGACAGAAAGTATCGTTACTTTCCAATTGTTCCCATACAATTTATCTGTTACAATTAAACACTGCATAATTTTACATTCTTAGATAGCGGATGATTCAACAATTATAGGGACATTGAATGTTACATGTCATTGGTTAGATTTTTATTTGCTGGAGATGATCATTGCCTGGCACTTGTCTGACATGGATGTTACTTGCCATTTGTCAGCTGAAGCCTAATATTGTCCAGGTCGTGTTGCATTTGGACATGGATTCCTTCAGCATCTAAGGAGTTACAAATCTTGCTCAAAATTGTATAATAGTCAGTGAACACTCTCACTCCTGATCTGACTGTAGAGGGCAGGTCATTGAGGAAGCAGCTGAAGATGAATGGGCCCAGGCACTATCCTGAGGAACTCCTGCAATAATGTCCTCCAACAACCATAATCATCTTCCTTTCTGCTAAATATGACTCCAATCTGTTTTACCCATGACTCTCATTGACTTGAGTTTTTCTACTCCATCAAATGTGATCTTGATGTCAAGGGCAGCCACTGTCGCCTCCCCTCTGCAGTTTTGGACAAAAGATCTGAAGCAGTAATGTGGTCAAGAGCTGAGTGGCCCTGGCAAAACCCAATCTGTGAGTCAGTGAGCAGGTTAGTGCTAAGCAAGTACTGCTTGATAGCACTGTTGATATGCACTTCCATCAATTTCTCATGAACAAGTGTAGACTGATGTTGCAGGACGGGTAGACTAGTATCTGTAATGCTAGGGCCTGGGAGCATGCTATGAATGATCTTTCATTCAACATTTCTGACTGAAGACTGTTGCAAATGCTTCAGTTTTTTTTTCTCTTGCACTTGTGTGCTGTGCTTCCCCATCACTGAAGTGGCAGGACTGCAGGGCTTATATCTGACCTGTTGATTCTGAATCATTTAGCTCTTTCTTTTCTATTGCTTGCTGTTTATGCTATTTGATATACGTGTAGTCCGGTGTTGTAGCTTCACCAGCAACACCACCCTGGGTATTAGTAAGGAATACTTACAGGATCAAGAGGCTTAGTTTGTCATTGTCATTCCTGCTATCTAGGTCAATGTCAGATAGTCTGCCTCGTTCATTCTTTTGAGACTTTTGAGTGGCTTGATACACATGCGTGGCTTGATAGACTATTTCAGAGGGCAGTTAAGAGTCAATGACATTGGCCACATGAGATAAAGATAGCAGACTTCCTTCCCTGCAGGCTATTAATGAATCAGGAGCAAAAACAGAAGTTGCTCGAAAAGCTCGGCAGATCTGGCAGCATCTGTAAAGAAAAATAAGAGTTAACATTTCGAGTGCAGTGAGCCTTCCACAGAACTCATGTTTGAGCCAAATTGAAGAAGGAAGGCGAGAGTGACTGCTCTTGACTTTAAGATCACAGATAGGTTTTTACAATAATGTGAATTGTAAACCTTTTAATTAAGGATTTTTTGAATTCAAATTTCACTACCTGCCATCATGGGATTTGAACAGAGGTCTCACAGCATTATTTGGATCTCTGGACTGCTAGTCCAGTGACAGTACTATTACATCTTCACTTCTGCTCAGAAGGCAGTTTTCCTTCCTGAAAGGACATTATACATGTATAATTGTCAAAGGGGAACATTAATTAATTCATTCAAATTTTTGAAATTTCTATACATTTAAAATGCACTCCTAGCATATATTGGTATCTGAAATAAGCCATTTAATTACTTTGACAAATTGAGCATCAGTTTGACAGATCTTTCCTGACTGGGTTGAAATGTTATTTAGGTTATCCTTTTCACATTACTCGCTTGACTCACATCAAGTCAACTCCTGAAATATTAAAAATGTATTATCTTGCAAACTGGGGATTCCATCAAGTTTGTAATCATACACAGAGTAAATGCTTTCCCTAGTGAAACTATTCAATTACAAATTATTATGGTTTAGAGTTCTTGGAAGAAAGAAGGTTGCCTAAACTGTTATTTCTGGAATGATTAATACAACGGAGTTATAAATCTTTTTTATATGAACTACATAATCTTACACAACATGATTTATTTCATTATCTAATACTTAATAGCAGCTTTTAAAACTAAAATCATTAGAGGAAGATCCAGCTTAACCTCAAGCTGTCTGATGAATCTAATATCATAATGATAGTTAGGAATGATCAATACTCCAATGTGAAACCTTTATTTACCTCTCAGCATTTACACTATAATCCTGTGTACTGTTGGAGGCTATGTTCTAAAAATGGGGAATCTATAAGTCTTTCTTCAGAACAAGAGAACCATTGAGGAAAGTTCTAGGCTAGGATCAGAACACAGATTATCATTGGAGATAGTAAGAACTGCCGATGCTGGAGTCAGGGATAACATAATGTGGGTCCCGACGCGAAATGTCAGCTTTCCTCCTCCTCTGATGCTGCCTGGCCTGCTGTGTTCCTCCACCTCCACATTGTGTTATCATTGAAAGTGTTGCCTTCGTAAACGTAAATACATAAATTGAGTTCATTTCATTGTCAGGAGTTTGGAGCCGTAACCTCAGGCAAGCATGTGCTAACACTAAGGCTGGATGTATCCTCCACAAAATTTTCCCTGCCATTAATAATTTAAAAAAAGCTTGATGGTAACATTATCATTAGATGTTCATACTACATGCACATGTACCTGCCACCACCACTCACACCCACTCTCACCCAAAGCTGACTGAACTGACCTGGGTCCAGTAGCCTGGCTGTTCCTGAGCAGTAACAGTGTGATCATGACATGTTCAATCAGTGTTTATAGACTAAGTAAAGTGGCTGCTCAGGAGATAATGAAATAGGTTCAATGTCAAGGCTGTCATGGACATTGTACTAATTCTTCTCTCTTTTTACATTATCCCCTTATTGCTGCCCTTACCATTCCCATCCTCATGGATGCACAAATTAATACTGGCATTGTTGCAGCAGAGGACATGTTATAGGATGACTCTGGAGATAAGTCTGTGAAGAGTGAACCCAGCAGCATTGTCAAGGCACACTGTACAGAATGAAATATCTGTTCATAAATGTTAGATGCAGATTACAAATATTTAAAATTGGGTTTGAAGCTTCAATTGGCTGAATTTGACAAGAAAAATGGTAGTGTTCAGTTTTGCACAATGTCTTGAAAGGATTGTTTCCATCAGGTTTTTTTTATGCAGTTCTCTGCTGCTCACGTTCCATATGCACTATACGTTCATGGTACTGCTCCCATTCACTCCCTGGCAGTGGAAGAACATATCACTGCTGGCACCATTTTTAGAGCTAAAATGCACAGCAAGGTCAATCACTGACAGCCACAAATAACCCTTCATAGTATATATAGTAGAAGTGAAATGAAGAAAAAAAGCTGCAGAGGACATACTGGTGACCCATCATTGGAAACAGAAACTCACATTTGTAAACACATTGCTACTTTACATCATCACCTGTCTGATTATTATTTTTCACTGTAGTTACAAGAATGAAGCTACTCAGGCTTGGTATCATATCATGTCAAAACCCCATTCTAAAGAGTGCTACTCCTTCCTTAACTGCTGGTGTAACATAAAATGTCATCATTGTTCAATGTGGAAGCATCACATGTTGAAAAGCTTTCAAACAGTTGAAAATACTTTTCCTGTTGTTCCATATAAGTTAAGAAAAAACAAACAAAACTAAAGTTTCATTTGCTTTTGGTAGTAAAAAGGAGCTGCTTGTCTTTGAACAGCAATAACTTTACAATCAATGAATGAACATTTCAATTCAGATAAATAGGCTGCAGTTTATATCCTAGTAGCCACCCTTGAAAGGCACCCAGCCCTTGAAGTGAAGCAGAAACATGAGAGTTTTCAAAGGTATAAGCATCATGGCAGCTTCCAGGATTCCTGGTCTGAAGGTCTAGGATGTGGTGCTGATAATTTACATTGATGGACTGGAACATTTTTGTGTTGATGAAATTGACTGCATTATGAGATGGCATTCTCAACATGACACGTATACAGCCTATTGTACCCTGTATGTGGGGGAAATTGAAATGTTCCTAAGCCTGGATTGCAGTGCTGACTTTGTCACAGGAAAATAAAAAGAAGCAATGTAACCTGGCATAAATTGCATCATGGTCTTGATATATTGGCTAGTTGAGGATTGAGAAATTCCACACAGGCCTTGGTATTTCCTTTGAAGCATAAAAATTTAGCACAGCTGACACCTTGACAGCTGCCAGGATAGGATAGCCATCCACCCCTTCAGTTCATAAGTCCTGTTCCAGTCAATGGCCCAGTGCTGTTCCAGCAGATCGCGTAGTGCTGTGGCAGTGACTAGGGACATCCTCAGTTGGGGCAACAATCTGGAGGAGATGACATTGGGGATGATAGACTCTGGGCTTCCTCTATCTCCTTCATGCCCTGAAAGGATGGACCTGTGACCTTTAGAGAGTTCTGAAGAATGAGAGGTAATCTCATTGAAACCGACAAAATACTTAAGGAGATTGTGGCAGGGTAGATGTAGGCAAAGTGTTAGGCCTGACTGGAGAGTCTTGAACCAGGTGTTGCAACTTTAAAATAACTGGGTAAAAACTTCGGGCCTGGGTGAGGAAAGAAATCAAGTGTACTTTTGTGAAGGGGTTGTTGGGAAAGTGAGGTGTGGGGTCTGATCTGGGATGTTTGGTTTAGGGTGGCACTATGGCTCAGTGGTTAGCACCACTGCCTCACAGCACCAGAGACCAGGTTTGAATCCAGCCTTGGGGGATGTGTGGAGTTTGCAAGTTCTCCCTGTGTCTGTGTGGGTTTCATCCGGGTGTCCCGGTTTCCTCCCACAGTCCAAAGATGTGCAGGTTTGGTAGACTGGCCATGCTAAATTGTCCTGTAGTATCCAAGGATGTGCAGGCTAGGTG